CGCCGCAGCTACAGTGGAGGTTATCAACTCTTACAAATGGCAATTGTTGTCTCACCATCCTTATAGCCCAGACCTCGCCCCTGTGACTTTTATTTGTTTCCAGAACTGAAAAAATTGCTTGCTGGAAAGAAATATAAGACCAGGGCGGCTTTGATATCTGCTGTTACACAGAACCTAAAATTTAGGTCTACGTCATGGTTCACAGCGGGAATACAAAAGCTCCCACGAAGATGGTAAAAGTGCGTAGACGTAGGTGAAGAATATATTGAAAAAGAGTAGAAAGATTTTTTTTAAATGTTGAATGGTTTTCGAGAACGAGTCAAAAGTCCGGATATTTTCTGACTTCCCCTCGTACAATAACTAAACACGTTGTAGCAATAGGAGGTACAAGTGTGGATTAGAAAGGAAAAAATACAGTAATAGTTCAAAATTTGTTTTCGACTGCGTATATAAATATAGTTAATTAAAAATGCAGCCTAAACATAAATAGTGTATATAACATAAGTGCTATAAGACAAACAACCCTCTACCAATAAAAGTAAAAACAAGAAATGTCGAACGACACATATGCCCCCTTTATAGCCCTAGACTCACGTTATTAGATACTTGCCATAAATGGGTACATGGAAGTGTTCAATTATGGAAAAAAGAAAAATAATGAGGACTTTATGATAAATAGTTTTCATGATAATGAGACATTAAGGTCCTTGACCTTTGAACTAGTGACCAAAAATCAATAGGGGTCATCTAATAGTTATGACCAATCAATATTAGAAATATGAAGAGTTTGTCATGTTTGTGATAAAAAGCTTTCAACATAATGAGCGGAAATCATACAAACATTCAAGAACCCTGTGACCTTGACCTTTGACATAGTGACACAAAACTCTAGAGGGGTTACTTAGTAGTTATGACCAATTAGTATGTGAAATATGAAAACTTTGTGATAAATAGTTTTCAAAATAATCAGCGGAAACCATTCTGACATTTAAGACCTCCGAAACCTTGACCTTTGATCTGGTGACCCCAAAAGCAATACGGATCATCTGTTGGTTATGACCAATCACTATGAAATATGAAGACTTGTGATAATTATATTTCAAGATAAATGACCTGAAATCATACTAACATTCAAAGACCCTGTGACCTTGACCTTTGACCTGGTGACCCAAAAATCAATTGGGATCATCTACTAGTTATGACCAATCAATATGTGAAATATTAAGACTATCTGATAAATAGTAACCACGATAAAAAACGGAAATCATATTATCATTCAAGGCCACTGTTAACTTGACCTTTGACCTAGTGACCTTGAAATCAATAGGGGTCATCTACTACCTATGACCAAATAAATATGTGAATTATGTATATTTTGAGATGTTTACTTTTCAAGATAATCAGTGGAAACCATTCTGACATTTAGGGTTCTTGTGACCTTGACCTTTGACCTAGTGACCCTCAAATAAATAGGGATCATCTAATAGTTATGACCAATCAATGTGTGAAATAAGAAGACTTTGTGATAAATCGTTACCAACATAATACTAGTAAGTGGAAATCATAGTACCATTCAAGGCCCCTGTGACCTTGACCTTTGACCTTGTAACCCTAAAATCAATAGGGGTCATCTACTAGTTATAACCAATCAGCATGTGAAATATTTAGACTTTGTGTTGAATATTTTTCAAGATAATCAGCGGAAACCATTCTGACATTTAATACCCTTGTGACCTTGACCTTTCACCTAGTGATCCAAAATCAATAGGGGTCATCAACTACATGTAGTTATGACCAATCAATATGTGAAATATGAAGAATTTGTAATAAATAGTAACCAAGATAATAAGCGGAAATCATATTACCATTCAAGGTCCCTGTGACCTTGACCTTTGACCTAGTGACCCCAAAATCAATACGGGTCAGCTACTATTTATACCCAATAAATGTGTAAAATATGAAGACTTTGTGATGAATACTTTTCAAGATAATCAGCGGAAACCATTCTGATATTTAAGGCCCTTGTGACCTTGACCTTTGACCTTGTGACCCAAAAATCTATAGGGATCATCTACTAGTTATGACCAATCACCATGTGAAATATGACAACTTTGTGATGAATACTTTTCAAGATTATTAGCGGAAACCATTCTGACATTTAAGGCCCATGTGACCTTGAGCTTTGACCTTTTGACCTCAAAATCAATAGGGGTCAATTACTAGTTATGACCAATCACTATGTGAAATATGAAGACTTTGTGATAAATACTTTAAAAGATAATCAGCGGAAACCATGTGGTCTACCGACGGACAGACCAACAGACAGACATTATCAAAACAATATACCCCCTCTTCTTCGAAGGGGGCATAATAAATTGTATAATGCCATTTTTTTGCTCCTTATTGATTATATAATTTAATTTTATATTTCATTATATCAGATGGCAGAGGGAGGCGAACACAACAATCCAGTACCAGGATCTGATGCAGACTTTGTGTACTCGTGCACACCGTGCGCTGACGAAGGCAATGATGAAACGGCGTTGAAATACTGTCCAGAATGTAAAGAATATCTCTGTGCAGCGTGCATAAAATATCATCTTAAATTTTCTGCAACGAAGAAACACACCCTACATGACAACGAACACCAACATTGTGAGAGAGATTCCATCGACACTACATCAGATGAGGACCAAATGTTCAAATGTCTCTATCATCTTGACAGGGATATCGAGATGTACTGTGGTGATCATGACATGGTGTATTGCTCTCTATGTGTTGCTAAGGATCATAGGTAATCAAATACATTGAGTTATAAAAATAATGTTGTATGTATCTTACCATTTTAATAATACATGTACAGCAATGGCGTCAAAATTAGCTTTTATGGACAATATTAAATTCATATTTTGAAAAAGAAATAAATCAATTTGTTCTATGCTTCTTCGTGTAAATTTGTAAATTGTACTTTTTGTTTTTTCAAATTATGCACTTGTATTTTGTTCTTTTTAACTATTGAAGGCACTGCACTGGAATACTAGAACTTAAAGAAGCAGCTAAAAGGATTTCTAGCGACAACGAAGACATCATACTGAGTAAAGTCGACTCTTTGCAAGCTGAAATACAGGTAACAAGAGAGAAGAAAAAAGAAAATCTGATTACACTAGATAAGGAAAAGAATGAAATTGTAAAAACCATAAAAGACACGGAACGTTTGATGATTGACACAATCAAAGAACTAGCGCTTGACGCACAAGCAAAGGCTTGCACTACATATAATGGTTTAAAGGAAGAATTGCAAACAGAAGATTCTGTTCTTTTGCAAGCTTTTACTAATACTAATGAGTTAAGAAGTAAAGTTAAAACAAAGGTGGACCTAGATGAAAAACGAAAATTTGCAAGACACATTCTGCAGAAACATAGCCTGACCAAATTAGAGAATAAGCACGAAAGCGTAGAAAAAGATGAGAGGAAAATGAAATGGTTTAAGAATGAAGAATTGATACAATACTTGTCAACAGCTGATTGTCTTGTTCAGGTTGTTGGAAGTAAAACCAGCTTCAATATAAAAAACAACCCAATTCGCAAACAGTTACAGAACGATATAAACATAAAAGGAAAAGGTGACAAACATACCTGTAGCATAATTGGAATTTGCCAGCTTTTTGATGGTACAATTATACTTTGTGATCGCACAAATAAAAAGTTGAAAAAGTTGAATGAAGGCTATAGCATTACAGAAGAATTCAAATTAGCATCTAGTCCATCGGGTATGTGTTTAACAGGCAAAACTGAGGTAGCAGTTAAACTCAAACATCACACAATATTGTTCGTTTGTTACGAAAAGGACAAATTGAAGAAAACACATTTCATAAAAATTGAGGGCGGTGACTATGTTGGTATTGCTTCCTTTTGCAACGAAATTTGGTGCTTTACTGGAGATGCCATCATGGTCTATAACCGTTGGGGAGCGGTCATAAAAACCTTGAATAATGAATCATTTGTAGGGACAATATACAACCCTGTTGTGGATGGACCTATCCCAGTTGCAACAGACGGCGCATTTATGTATGTATCAGATTTGGGTAACAAAGTTGCATGTCTAGACAGGGAAGGAAACGTATGGTCGGTTATGGAAAGTAAACGGTTGGAGTTGGTAAGAAAAGCTTGTATTGCTTCAAAGGATATTATTTGTATCGCAGGATACACCTCGGGGAATGTTATGATGTTCGATGGAAAAGGTAAATGCTTAGGAGAATTGGTAGATGGTTTAATGGAACCAGATTCTCTATGCTACGATAACAAGAAACAGCAGCTGCTTATTGGGTACAGAGATTTGAATATATTGACAATTATCAAATTGGATGAATGTTTGTAGGAAATATATAAAAGTAATTTAAAAAAAAAAGAAATTAAAAAATTGACGTGTTATGACTTATATACAACTTTTGTCAAACGTCACTGGAAGTACTGGATAAGTTAATCCAAGATATCACCACCAAAAAGAAATAATCTTTAAAACAACCCGATTCAAACAATAATAGTCGCTCCCGCCTTGTTCCCCTACTGAACAAAATGGAACGAGACTGTCAATTATAATCAAAAAGATATATTTTTGTTAAGTATTACTTTGTAATGTTTTCTATGTATGTGAAGTGAAATAAAAGAAATATTGCAAAATCTATAAATGAAATATAAATTAGTAAAAGATAAACAATGCTTATGATTTGTTCAAAAGCTAGATGCCTGTTTTCCGATCAGTATTTGTAAACGTTAAAATCATAATTCGTCCAGAATCATTCTAATTTTTATAATAATAAAGTTGTTCTAAAATATATGCACAATAAGTTGTACCAAAAGTGACTTTAAGTAGAGTAAGGCGAACGAAACTTATTAGATATGGTACAGGGGCAAATAAATACTACTTAAGACATAAGCATAAATAAGCAAATACTAAGACAGAATGTAATTGTTTATACATACTTTAAATTTAAAAATAAACAAATTGAGTTATCACATTCTAGATATAACACATTTTAGTTAAAGTCATTATATTTTTGTCCCTATATGCATGTTCTGTTGTTGTTGTTTTTCTTTTTCAGAATGCTAGAAATAAGATACATATGATTGCTGTTGTATATACCTTCTCAAAATAAAGATATTGTTATATAAGTATTTTTATTAAACGATTTACATACATATCTTAGTTATATTTTTTATGAACATATGTGTATGCCGACTTGGAGACGTGCCCCTGTGTGGACAATTCTTTACATTTTTGAAAATTACTATATTTCAAATTCATGTACGTGGCTGAATGAAAAGTTACACCGTATTATCGTTTCTCAGTGAAATATTTACAATTTGAATGATTAATTTTGAGAAGAATCTCAAAGACAGGGCAAAATACTTGATTAGCGTTCTTGACTACCACACATCTGTATACAGTAGCGTATAATGAAGCCATAATTGTTGACTCCATTTTCCACCATGAGTGAACGCTCATGTCACTACTTAAGTTGTGTACCTACGACGTTGTAATCATTTTGAATTATTTCATATTCCATAAGCTACACTTTCCATACATGTATCATATTAAATCAATGAATAATCAATTGTAAGGGAATAAGGAGTTCGCAAAGTAAAAAGTTTTCTAACATGACATTCACGTTTTCACGTTCGCTTAAAGATCCTGTAACACAATTTTTTATGGTTTTTATCATAAATATGATGCCCAAATTAAGATTTATCAATATTGTAAGTTCCAAAAAGCATTATTTATAAAGAAATTACCGAATTTAACATTTCATGTAAATTAAGGGAGATTTTTTAAAAAAAATTTACAATATGTACATAGTGAAAATCTATGACCCCGGGGAGAGGCCAATTTTGACACCAGGGCTCTAATTTGAACAATCTTGGTAGCGGTTCACTACACAAAGTCTGATGCATGATAGCGTAGAAAAAGATGAACAGAAAATGAAATATTTTAAGAATGACGAGTTTATACAACAGGTGTTAACAGTTGAATGGCTTGTTCAAGTTGTTGGAAGTAACAATAGCGTTCATACCACTGAGCAGCCACTGCACAAAAAGTCACACAGAGAAGGTATCTGTATAGGGAAACAGAGACGAGAATACATGCTCTATACTTGTAATTTGCCAGCTTAATGATGATACAATTTTGATAGCGGATAGATCTAATAAATCTCTCAAAAAGCTGAATAAAGATTTCAGTATCACTGGAGAACACTACCTAGATTCTAGTCATAAAACAGGAATACTATAACAATAATAACTATAGCTGAATGTTTGCTACATGGTGGTGACAGGAATGCTGTTTTATTGCTATGCAATGACAGACAAAAAAGATGCGAATAAATATTTTATGATAAACTCTGATAATCAAATATAACTTGGACTACTAAGGTGATGAATAATTTTATAATATTTTAAGTTATGTGAAACGTTAATTTTGATTAAATTTGAAACCATCATTCATTTGAAACTGACATGCATGTATATAATACATGTATATCAAATTCGATTAAATTTGAAACCACTATTTATTTGTAGCAATCATTTGAGAAGCGTGATGACAAAGATTATAAGTTATATGCTCCAATTACTTGTTTGTATATGTAGAGTATTAGATGATTAACTTTGAGACCACCAAACTCCTGACAAATCCCACACGGGACACCCTAGTTTATGTTAAATCATTCTCTAAATCGAAACCACCTCTCAAGGCAGTGCGATAACACCGGAAATGTAATACGCGGGCGGCGGATTCCGACGGGATTAAAAAATGACTGCTGACAAGTTCTGACCACATTTGGATTTGTTTTGTTCTTTCCTGTTACGAAGGACGAGTTTTATTTCAATATCAATCAAACTTTAGAGAGTGCAAGCTCAACGTTGTTAATATTACATTTTTTTTCTACGTTGTAGGTATAAAATACATCTTGACAATTAAAAATCGAGATTTATACAGATACATTTTATATAAGGAAAATATTAAAATAAAAATACCATAACATTGTTAAAATTGATAGTCATATGAATAAAAACGACACTACTTTTTGCATATTAAAAATGCAGACTGGATTATTTTCGGATTTGAGGTCATCCCTGATTATTGAAAAAGAAAAAAGAAAAAAAGATTCCATCCTCTTTTTTTACATCTATTTATAGTTTTAGCAGAACAGAAAATACCTTTTTTGTACAATACTGTAGAAATGAAGGTTATTAAGTATGCATTATTTGCAGTTGCTTTAAATCCTATATACCCAAATACTTGCACCTTGTATTATTAAACTTAAACCTGATATTATTTTGATAATATTTTTTAAAAATCGTCAATTCCGTAACTTTTTAATACTTCTATGAATCAGCTTCATCAGTCTTAACCTATTCATTGACGAATTGAAGACATCTGGAATTTAGTAATTGTGTTGTTATAAGAATAATTTGAGAGAGAACGACCGTGATGTATACTTTAGTATTGAATTATTTTATTTGCATTTTTGTTTGTTAATTATTTAGTTTTCAATTAGCTTTATTCCGGTCTCGGTAGAAATTCCTGCACAAAAATGCAGCTTCAAGTTCGTTTTTTTTCTTACAAAAACTGTTGAGGCCATACTGAGTGAAATTCGTTACTACACGGTCTTATGTTACCCGAAATTTAATAATGACTTTCTTACTTTACCATAAGCAAAATTTATTTCAGTAAATAGATTGTAAGAAATGGAGAAAATAAGCATATAACGTTTTGTATTCATTTTCCATATTGGTTGATCATATTTTGTAAATATTGCCGTCTTTCGAAATGTGAAAAAATTATTTGTAAGATGTTGTAAGAAATAAAATAGGAAAAGATGAAGTCGAATATATTTTATGTTTAAATGACATATGAAACAGTTTTTGAATCATTTTGGCATTTTGTGTACCATATGTACTGTCAGAGATTAGAATAATCTATCTATATCTCCCTGACACCACCCGTACTTTAAAACAATTTTCAGTGATATTAATTTAGTTATTTTGTTATGATAATAAAACTTCATTAGTTTGAAAACATATTTTTGATCATGAGACGTGCATGAACTTTTCTCTTTTTTCTCAACATTTATAGAAGTTATAGCATAGTATTGATAATAAAGTGTATTTGAAGTTCGATATATAGAAGTGTCGTTACCTATCATTTTTGTAGAGTATTGCGTTAATGTAAAAAAATGTTTATTGAAACAACTTGATGTTTCCAGATATGCATTATCAGAGGACTGCATGTGATATATTCTTTTCTAGATATAATCACGCCCTAATAAGCAACAACAGTTTTATACTTTAGATTGTGCGTTAGTTTTACAAAGAGTAAAGGATTACATTGGCTATATTATTAGAAGAAACGATATCAAGGATCTAAATGAGGACTCACATCTAGGTTAATCAAAAACTGAAGAAAAAATGTAAAGATATACCTGAATGAACTAACCAGTGCCTAGCGGAAATAATTATACGATTATGTCCCCTACAGAGTTATTCAAAAAGTGTCTTCTTACGTCTGTAAGAAGACACGTTTAAATAACCGTTACTTTCACTTTCCTAGTGGGTTTAATACAGTTGAAATGTATGGTGTCCTGCGTGGGCCAGTTAAAGGACTTAAAGTTTTTGACAGAAGCCTAACCGTCATAAATGTGAATGATAACAAAATTTATGAACTCAGACAGTAAACAAATTATGAAGACCGACAGTTCATACAGCCTCTATTAAAGAATTTGTCTTTTGTATATTTCTGAAAACAATCAAACTATGCTTAAGCTAATACCTAAAACACCAATCGCAAAGAATACAAAATGTAATAATGAAAGAAATATAGGACATCGATGAATGCATGCGCAATATTGAATGTATCAAATGAATTGATACAATACTCTATAAACCATATGAATACAGATCTAGCATTATATTTTTCACATGCCAATAATAAGAGTCGTGTTCAGTAAAATAATTAATTTTTTCTCTGACGCCTTTATACTATATTATATACGCTTTGTTTGTATTATGCATGTATATGACGTCATGTCTAACATACAAAATCGACTTTTCAGAGCTGCATTAAATACATTGGTATTTGATAAAACGTTCTTGTTTTTTTACTAATATTTTCTTATTTTCTTTACATGTTCACATATATAATAAATTATTGTTCTCATTTTTTTTAATCTAGGAAAGTGTTTGTAAATTTTATCTGTTGACTTGTAGATCTCGTAGATTTGAATGTTTTTGTCCTCGGATGTTAATTTGATTGGAAGTCGTTTGTCAACATTGTGGTATCGTTAGAAATACTTTTTACTATTCCAAATCTGTAATGGTTACATTATGCCAATCCTTGATACAGCGGTTGCTACCCCTTTGCATGTCCATTTAAAATTGAGGTTAAAATGGCAAAAGATTATTATGGAGCATGTATCGACCTAACCTGTGCCGACAGTT